GGTAGTTGCTTCTTTACGTGGAAATATGTACAGAAACAGAACACACTTTTGCATTCTTTTTCATACTAAGATACGTATTTTTTTCTATAAACTCCCGAAGTAATTGAGAACATTCAACAAACCGATTGTTTTTTCTTTGGAAAATAATGAAAATTTATATTTTTTGAACGAGTTTTCCGTAATAAAAATTACATTATTAACGTCAAAAAAAAATGTTGGTAGTGTTATTTTATAATAACTTAACTTTCTACGAACCGTCAGATCGCAATACAAAATAATAAATTAAAACAAAATAATGCAACTAAAACCAAAACTATTTTACAAATAACTCGATCAAATGAAACACTGAAAACAGCATATCCTTTTCATAATATACAGGATTTCGTATACTATAGCGTCCGTATAGATGTTTTACTTCTTCGAAATGAGCAGTCTTACCTTCGAACTGTCTGAAGCTGAAGTCATCGGTAGACACCCTGTAATTTCCAAGTTTGTGGTAGTTTTGTATGTAGTCGTATAAATGGTTTTTAACTGCATTGTGATCATTATTTCCCACTGAGGCAATATCCACAAACAGTTTGCTTGAAAATGAATCGGCTGGTCGTGGTCTAAAAGCACAAAAGTACTATTAGATCCGGTCAGAAAGAAAATCCCTACAGTAATGCTATGTCCCGAGTAAAACTACATCCCCATAAGCGATAAAAAAATCGTAAAATTGTTTACGTTCGAATTTCGTAATTAAGTAAAGAATTACAAATATTTTTTGTGCATACTGATATAGTTTCCCAAGTCATTTATCTATTTAGTTATTCGTTAATGGTGCAGTTTAAACAATAAGTTTTTCTTTGACAAAACAATTATTCCGTTAGAAAGCAGTTATTACGATCTTGAATAAATTTCCGTAACTGTTCCTGACTACTTAAACTAACACTAAGTACTGCACTTTTACTCGTGTGGACAGTGCCACGATGAACTTTTTCAATGCTTTTGAATTTTCTACACATATAGACACATGCATTTTTCATGTGATTCCATTCACAGCCATTTTCAAGAAAATACATGTAAATTTGGGCACATACGCGTGAGCCGTGTGACACTTGTACCGCACTCGTTTTTAATGAACTAAGAATACCGGGGCTTTATTGTGAAAGAAAAGTCACAATACTGAGAAAATGAAATAAATGAGAGAGAAATGGTTTAAGAAAATAAACTTACTCAATATTAACAACCCCTTGAGCCATTTGTTCACCAGGTACATCCCGGTAAACATCGTTTATTGCTCGAGCTATTTCATCAGAAAGAGTTGTATACAAGCTTCCTCTGTGGTCTCTGAATTCTTCCCTAAAGGGCTCGAAGACAGTTAAGGCCACTCTGTAATATACTGAAAAATAAAAATTAATTAAAGAAACCGTTATACATATAAATAATAAAATCAGTATTTATTACTTTGTGTAGAAGAAGAAAAGAAGAAAAATATTTAAATTTTGTTTTAGTTCAAATATTTTCTTTATTTTACTTTTCAATATTATTAATTTTCGCACTTTTCACTTAACAAAGCAAGCCTATGATATTATAATATTAATAATTAACGAATGTCTCGTACCAGGTTTATCTCCCGATTGTGGCGGCTTTTCACCACCTGGATGAAAAGCAGGTGGAACCGCCGAACCTTCTCCTGATGTTACATCCAAATCTTCATCGTCGGTTCTGTAAGTATTAGTTTATATATATAATAATGGAACACTCAAAAATGATGAATATAACAGAAAACTTACATGAACTGGGCTTCTGTAGGTGATTTAGTTTGATTTCTTACATTGTTTGCAAATTCAGCAGCATCGGTGGATTCTATGACCTGTTTAATAAGAGGAGATTTATTATTATTAACTTTTATATTCGCAAAAATTGAAGAAATAAAGAAAACAAAAAGTATAAATTTTCCTATTTTTTGCTGATATGAAGGGAGCTTTCACAGGATAAACAGAAAGAAAATATGGAATATAATGGAAGAAAAAGGAATAAATATGAAGTTAAGGAAAAGAATAGAAAAAATATATGAAGCAACATTATTTAAAGTGATAATCAATGAAAAAATTAGCACGATCAAATGGGTCAGACAAGGATGTCCCTTGAGTACAGCTCTTTTCATGGTAGCTTTTACGGATATATATATATATACAATGAGGAAAATTCAAATGGGAGTAATAGTATGGACATTATCTTACGCGGATGATATAGTATTGATGGTTAAGAGCGAAAGGGGACTATAGAAGTGATGAAAAAATGGGAAGATACATAATAGAAACAGGCCTGGAGATGAACACATAAATCAAAGATAATGAGAGGCAGCAAAGGTGGTGGAAGAACGAAAAAGATAATATTTACATAGAAAGGAAAAGAAATTGAAGAAGTAAAAATGTACACCTACCAAGACTAGGTACATACAGAAGAACAACAGAAACGAAGAGCAAATAAGAAACTTAAAAACAGGCAACCGCAGTCTTAAGGAAAGTATGGAGCATATATGAAAGGGACTTCAAGGAAAAATTGGAATAAAAAAATGTATTTATTTGAAGTATTGGTAGAATATATACTGAAGTATGGAGAGCGTCTATCTATCTATTGAACGGTAGTATTTAACAATGTTTAATTTTACGCAGTAAATTACGCAAAAAGTTATTTTTCTAAAAGAAAATGTTTTATGAAGTACAGGAAATTAAATAACAGAATCAAATAGATTTTTATTTTGCTGGAAAATCTTTCTGTCTCAGTAGCTATGCAACAGACAACTGGAAACACCGCTTCCTGGTACCAGGAAACTGTAAGGATAACGTAGCCGTATTGATCCCGAGGGAATATACGACAAAACAAATTTAATCATATTGGAAACGAGATGGCGGTACGGTACGGAAATTTTGTAAAATACACCAGAACCAGAACAGCATGAAAGTGTTTATTTTCAACCGAACTAATTTAATTAAAAGTATTCTTACTAATGATTTTTTTGTTTAAATCCTTTTCTGTTATTGTAAACCTATTGTTCTTACTAATGCAGATATTTAAGCTGTTTACAATTTACCTGATTTTAGATACCTAGGAAGTCAGATAAGTCAGGATGGATGGAGTAGTAGGGATATCAAGCAAAGGATAGCGCAGGATCGAGTCGTCTTTAATAAAAAGAAGTCACTTCTATGCTCGCGAACCGTTAATTTAGAAATTCGAAAAAGGTTCTTAAAGGTGTATGTTTGGAGCACGTCGTTGTACGGGTGCGAAACATGGACAGTGGGCGTGGCGGAAAAGAAAAGGTTAGAAACGTTCGAAATGTGGTGTTATAGGCGGATGATGAAGATAGAAAAGGTTAGAAATGAGGGGTATTGGAAAGAATAGGAGAGCAGAGGACTCTATGGAAGTTAATAAAAAATAAGCGAGATAGGTTGGTAGGACACCTTCTCAGGCATGAAGGTCTAGTCAGACATATTAGAGGCAGACATAGATTAGATTACTGTTCGCAAATAGTTAAGGATATGGGTTGCTCTAGTTTTAGGGAAATGCGAAGTTTAGCTCAGGATAGGAAAGAGTGGAGGTACGTGTCCAACAAGTCTTAGGACTGACGACCTTATGATGATGATGATGAACAATTTACCTGATCGCCAGTGGTGACATCTGTAGAATCAACATCCGATTTTTCTGTGGTAGTTGATATCCAATCATCAAACCAACCCCGTTTTACTCGTCTGAAGGCACTTGAAAACCATCCGTCGTCTTCGCTTTCTTGACTAGAATCTATTCTGTTCGCATTTCTTCTAACTACACTATGACTATTGTCTTGACTAAAGGTCTTAGGATCTTCTAAATTATCAAAAACTAGATCTGAGTCCAGCTGTAAAAGAGGAAATGAGAAACAATTATTACTTTTACAACTACAATTACAAAACGTATTAATAATAGACAAATTCTTATACTTTATGAAATAGTATAGACTTATAAATGTTATACCCAGATTACTACACAAGTTTTTCTTTATTCTTATAATTTATTTGCTATTCAATAATTTTTGGAAGGACTAATTCAAAATTTGTCTTTATAGTATAGAACCCGTCCAAATTTGAACAGTGCAATTGGTACACTTTATTCAAATAATACTGTAAACGTCACAAAAACATGCTAGCAGTTGTCCTGCCGGAACCGCTTCTAAAAGTACTTTTGTACAGAGGAATTGGTCCTGCCAGTAGGGCACATACCTGCCAATGTATATCCTTCCACTAGAAGGACGAGGGCACTTGCCAGCAGTGCGAAAACTGAAAAATTCGTCGAAAGCTTGAAATAAGACAAAAATTTCTGTACCTCTCTCAGTCTCATAAGAGAGACCCAAAAACCTTAAGCCATAATTTGCAGTACCCAACATATGATTAGCCGTTTTTCCAGCATGATATAAGAAGACTGTACGAATACGGAGACTTTCAGCAAGGAAAACACTAAGTGACACAAAATTACTCAAACTTCCTCTAATTTCCACTAAGCAGAATTATACATCAGAGCATACGTTTGTAATAATAATTGTAAACTTATATTCTCAAGTAGATTTTACGTCAAAGGTATATTCTAACAATAGATTACTATATTATCCCGAAATCCTTAAAAGTATACTACAATTAAACAAACAAACATGCATCAGAGAGACGACAATTCTCTAGACCCTAGATGTCCTGTTTATACCCTTGTATCGAATAACAGTAAATTGAATTTTCTCATTTTAAGCGATTATTTGAATGTAGAAAATGTTTATATGCTAAACTTCTTAAATTTATTTCATTAAAGCACAATTTGTGCAATAGAAGTTGTTTCCATTTGTAGCATCTTCGCATTTAATCGATGCAACACATGGCGCCACGATTTTCAAGAATGCAAATCTAAAAAAGAACCAATTACGTTACATAATTAGTAGAGGTGCCGATTCTCAGTAGGTAGTAATTCCTGAAACCTCACGCATACGAACATTTAATTTACTTGCTGTTGAACATTGTAATTATGCTGTTTTACTGCCAAGTACGTTCCTGATGGAGCAATTTTATTGTTATACATATAGCAATTACATTGTATGCATGTATTTCTTGCAGCATAATAAGATGTTAATGTCGAGATATCAATTTAATAAAAGTTTCAGTAGAACTTTACGGTTTTTAATAGTAAAAGTAACGAAAAAAATGATATTCAACGCGAATTAAAAACAAATTTACGCCAAAAGGACAGTTGTTTAAAAACCAATACATAATGATTATGTACAACGTATACATGTCCAAAAAGAATTTTTGTGTTTCTGTCTGTCTATCACTGTGGGCTAATCTTTGAATAAGAGATTGTTAAGAATGATCTGGACTAACTTTTTTAATTTATTTGTTGGTTAACGCTGTACGGGTGCGAAACGTGAATGGTGGACGTGGCAGAAAAGAAAAGGTTAAAAGATTGGAAGCGTTTGAAATGTGTTGTTACAGGTGAATGATGGGGATATTGTGGATAGAGAAGGGTAGAAATAAGGAAGTATTGCAAGGAATAGGAGAACGGAGGACGAAATAGGCGAAATAGCTTGGTAGGACACGTGGGAATTAAAAACATGTTAGAAAGAAAGGTAGATCTACATTAGATTGGTGTTCACAATAGTTAAGGATGAGAGGATTAGCTCAGGATAAGAAAGAATGAAGGTGCGTGTTCATCAATTAAATACGAAGATGCTACAAATGAAAAGAACTTCTATTGTACAAATTGTGCTTTAGTGAAACAAATTAAAAAAATTTTAGCATATGAGAAAATTAAATTTATTGTTATTCGATACAGGAGCATAAACAGGACATCTAGAGTCTAGAGAATCGTCGTCTGATGCATGTTTCTCTGTTAGTACATAGGACTGACTAGCTTATAATGATGATTATAGAAACCCAAAAATCGCATGTAATAAAAACCGTGTAAGTAGTTAATTGGTAAGTTAATATACAGCCGCGCATATTCATGGGGATGTAACATGATCTAACATTCCCCATATGGATTCTTAGTTTCATTTTTTCATCTTCTTCAATACCGTATGATTATCTCATGAACTACCTACCATTTATGAACAAAACATCAGTTGTACGTTATTTATACTATGATCCCATAATGGTCTTCCTAACTCAACAGAAATATTTAAAAGGATTTACATCCCGATTGAAACAAATCGAACGAATATGATGCTGGTAAACTGAATTATTAAATATTTATTAGGCTAGAATTCGGAATTTTTGGGGCTAAAAAATCTGAAGCCATAAAATTTATTGCGACAGTATCGTGAAAGAGCGCCCTTTATTCTGCTGGAATTACATTGGACAAGCGCACGGATAGTTAAAAAATCATAAAAATTTTAACTGACGCTGGTTACAGTGCTGACACACTTTTTCATCGACGCAATATGTGATTCACAGACTATAAATAAAACTTTACTGCATTGTACGTATGCATGTACGGATATATATATGTATTAAGTGAAAATAAAACGCGAAACAATACACTTATTTTCAATTATCTGTTCGAGTTGATGACCTCATGGCCAGCCTGTTGCAAAATTTTCGCTCAGTGGTAGGTCGATTTTTTTAACGGTTTCGTTTGTTTTTGTTCGTTTTTGCCAACAGGATTGTGTTCGAAAAATGAATCAGCAGGAGAACATATAAATAACTCCCGTTTATTGCAAATAATGTAGTATATCTTCTACAGCATCTCGAAAGTTACAGTTACGGCCGGAAAACTTTGTAATTTTATTTTTAGAATCTTATAATATCATACTTCGTAAATAATTTCACCATCCATTTGTTTAAAAAGCTTTGAACATCCTGCAATAACTT